TGATTTCTGTGTGTGTACCCTCTCAGGGCACACACATAGAAATAAAAGATAAGTGCTATCTTCACAAAATATTACTTGTGTCCTCCTCTAGGCCTCATTAGACTGCCTACCATTTTTTATCAAAACTCCGATTTTAAAAAGTAGCGTTCCGGAAAGGGTTAACAGGTTAAACATGCGACATGCGAAGGGGGACGTGGGCACCACCCCTTTACCGTCGGTTAATTGGTGCAGCGCCACGTCCACCAGTATCTAGAGTTGAACCTTGAGTCTTTCAAAAGAGCAATTACATGGCCATACAAGGGCTGTTTTAAACAACAAAACGTTCTATATGTCACTTGAAATTTTTGCGAAGATATGCGAGAAAGAAATTACTCTAAGTCACATTTCAATAACTTTTGGCTCAACATTCATGAGAAAAAATACAGAAATATAGATAGAATTCAATACAGAAACATTTCGTGTCGGCGATTGAAGTCTCCTTTCCAATAGAAGTTTCTTAATCCATAGCTTATTTCTTAGTTTATAGTGAAAATATTTACAAAATGCATTTTCTTGAATATGATCGCAAATTTGTAAAAGAAAAATTATTAAATTATAAACATTTATTGAATATTTAATATTGGAAAATGTATTCCATATGGATAATATTGAATAATTTAGATTTATATTCAAAAACCTCTCTATGTATATCTTTTAATATAATTTTTAAAATGTTGACCTAATTTTGAGAAATTAACAAATTACGTCAGTACTCAGCATTTAAGGAAATAAAGTCTTTAGCCATTTTTTCCTCACGTTTTACAAATGTTTTTATATACAAGTAAACGGAACAGAAAATAAATTTTGTATATACTTTGGAAATATAAGACAACTTTCTACACTCTTATTATGTAAACATTTAACATGCTAATCTGCCCACGGAAAAAATTGTAAAGTGTTATTCTTTGATAAAATTGTAGATCTCAAACTATTTTGTTAAGAAAATGAGAGGAAAAAAATCTAAATGATAGCAAAGTGAAAGAAAATCTCCTTAATCGTTGCCAAAAATTTAAAGCAAGATGCTTTGTTGTAATTATCTTTTTTCATGTAGTTTAATCCAAAATAAAGGCGCTTAAATGGTATCTTTGAAGTGTATTTAATATATTTAGCCTATAAATAATTATTCTTATAAATAAATAGAAGCACTTTTGATAATTGAGTATCTCAGAAGCATGGAAGGTTAGCTGACTGACATAATTATGGTTTTGCTGTAAAGTTCTTTTGATTATTCAGCCAGGAAGTGATAATATTAACCACTTTAGAAACTAAATGATTATTGAATGGTATATATATGAATTCACTGTCATAGATAATGATACGCAGTTTGGAAAATAGTGTTCCCTTTACATTAATGAAAACCATTTGGAGTACTTCTCCTCTGTCTATTATCTATTAAAGTTAGCTTACTGGTCTTTTACTTCATGAAGTACTCAGCAATTTCGATAAATTTACCACAAAGTTATAAGATCGTTATTTTTATTTGATGGTTACAGAAAGACATTATCGTTATCATCAATGCCAAAGTATATCACGTTGACTACTAAAAGTTAGATTGTCTAGAATTGGGAAAGAAAAGGGTTACTTTTGGTCTCATATTAGTTACCGGAGCTAGATTAATCCCATTTGTCGAATTGGTAGATGTACTTCAAATGATGTTACATTAAAAACTAACCTCGATCGATATTACCACTAAAGTTCTCGAAGGAAATCACCTGGATATTTTTCAAGCATTACAATTCTTTACTTAGCTTATTGATGGAGAAAGTACTGTTCAAAAAGACGTCTAGCTTCTATATAGAGATAATTGGCAACGCTATTCAAAGCATTTTATGTCATGGCTTGAATGCCAATTAGCAACAAAGGTTTTATCACTTATTTTCAGATAATCAAGCTCATGAAATGGCATGAGGAATATTATGAGTTTGCATATTTGTTTCTTTAAGCCATACTCCAAACATATATTTTTTCTAGTTCATATGCGAGATACCAGATGCATACTTTTTTGATACGTTTGTGCCAACGAATTATCTGGAATATTTTAAGATAATTAATGATCTATACCAGCGATTCTCAACCGGTAAGCGTACCACTAGTGGTACGCAAAAAAAGAAGTTTTAACTATTAAATTCAAAAACTAAATACCACCAAATCCTGTTTAAGTTTGTTCTCAAACACTGGTAAATCTATGCAATCTGAGCTTTACTCAAGGTCAATAGACGCTCATAGAATTTAGCAAAATAATCCGTTTTTATTTGCACAAATATTTTTTTGCCATGATCAAAAAAAATTTTGTCATAAATGATGCTTTTAAAAGAAGTAATAGAAATCGATGTTTTATTTAATAGGAAATAAAAACAAGTTCTATTAAAAAAGAACAGGATCTCATTAATGCTTTTAGGAATTGATCGATTTGTTAGACTCTGTACACTTTATGTCGCCACCATTTTCGGGCTCATACTTCTATATTTCCAATTAGATACATATATATATATATATACATATATATATATATACTTTTATTTACTAAAGAAATACTGATTACATATATATATATATATGTAATAATAAATTTCCATAGTCAAGAATACACTTAAATTTCTGTATGTTCTTTTCATTTTTAATGGCGACGTTCTCTTATTTGAAAGTACGTGGAATTAAATCCACAACCCCGTAGTTGTTTTTCCCGCCTTTTCTACACGTACAGTTATAGAATGTTCTGGAAATATTTTAAACGAACTGGATTAGCTGACGAGGCTGACGTCATTTCTGTGAAGCTCCGCCTTTCCAGAGGCTATAAAAGGACTCGCAAAAGGAATATCGGGAACTTTTTCTTAAATGTCACGATGCAATAAACTTCATACAAAAAAGTTATTAGTAATTTTTTTTTATTTACTCCGGATATCTGATTTTGTAACTGCTATTTCTCCAGAATAATAATAAATGGATCCTGTTTTTTTTAAAAAAAACTTATCGTCTGATAATTTAAGCTACGACTAAAGCTGGTACATTACATACACACACATATATATATAGATATATATAATTTATTTACTAAAGAAATATTCATCATAATAACTCGTAGTAGTATAAATGTAGTTTAAAAAGGAACTTGAATTAAATCATGAGAAAAAAAAAGAGTTTTTTTTTTTTTTTTTTTTTTTTTTTTTTTTTTTTTTTTTAAAGGGGGACTATAATTTAGAAAGGTACAAGAATGTAAATCATGAATAAATAAATTCAGACTTTGAAAAAGAAAATTAATAAACCAAGTAATTATCAACATTGATCGGAAATTAGTTTATCGTACAGTATTGAAATTTCTTGCTTTTAAATCGTTGAGTTTGTTATTCAAAAGTTTGCTAAAGTGTTACAAAATATGAAATGAATAATAAAACAAATTTCGAATTCCAAATTTGGGCTTCTAGCTGAACATATTCGGTAGATTTATTTATGGTACACATATTTACGGAGATTCTTCATTATTTAATTTTTTTAATACAATGCGATAATATTTGGTGGCAGCAATTTGAAAAGTGAACCGACATTTATAGTCAACCAAGACAAAATGCCAAAACGAAATTAATAGTTTTTCAAGGCAAATTTCCTCTTTAGACAAATAATGTGCTTTATATAAAATGTATAGATAAAAATATATATATGGTTTCATTTTATTTCCTGTCTGCTATTATGTAAATAAAAAGGCTTAAATTTTCCATTTCATTTTAATTCTGATTTCTCTCGCAGTATTCTAGCATATATATTGTTTCAGCAAACAACTGCGGTTTTTAACGCAACGCAAGAAAAATAGTTGTTATAAATACAATACTTTTATAATTACAATTAGATAAAAATTAATTTAATAGTTAAAATTTTTAATTTTTGATGATTTGATTAAATAAAAAGGCTCATGAACGTATCTTAACTATACATTTTATAGAACATAACAAAATGAAAAATTAGTTCCCCCCCCAAGGTTTTATTCTTTAACTGCTCCTGCTTCTATTTTATAAATATAAAATGGTAAAATATTCAGACAGAATTAAATTAAAATGCATCATATATGTATATGACTTGCAAATAATATATCTGAAAATCATAATATTTCCGACAGTTTACATGAGCTCGAAAAAACAAGCAGCAGTTGGAAGAATGGGGCATGAAACATAGATTAAAAATTACATAGTAATAAATATCACTTTTTTACGACATTTCTAAATAAAAAAAATGCTTCCTTTAATTGTGCATGCAAGTTACCTTATCTGTTGCAAACGTAAGAGCGCTTTTGCTGTATAGCTGAAGGCTTTGCAATATGCAATATATCTGCAAAATCGACGGACAAAATAAAACTTGAAATTTCCATAAATGTGATTTAGCAAGGGTCTTTTAGGAGTTTGCTTAACATTTGAGCTCCTTTCAGACGTTAGTATAAATGTCAAAACTGGTTTAAGCCGAGACTCGCTGCTAGGTAACCAAACATTGCTACGGCACAAAATATGGTTGGAGCTTTTTGCATAAAGTTCGAAGTTTCCAATGTTATCCCAACTTGGTATAAGAGTCGGTCAATCCGAGGGAAAGCGGGAAATCTACTGATTGGAAGAACAAATAGAGGCAGCATTGGACACATCGACGCATGCGCAAATTTAGCCTTCCTAATTGGCTACGGCTTAGACCCTGTCTCACAAATGTGAACGGCACTCCTGCATTTTATACCTAATGATTGTGCCGCTATAACCTCTATACCACCGTCTGAATGGAGTCTTACATCTCTTATATATTTTGCAATCACTAATAGTCTTTAGATAGATAATATTTTTTAATGTTTAGATAGATAATACTTTGCAAATGAGTTTTGATGCAAAGCAAATATTTTTAATAAAACAAAATTAAAGCTATATTGTCTATTTTTTCTGTGGGATTATTGTGCAGTTTTGTCCTATACAAATTTCATTTTTCTTTATTTCTAGGTTATCAGAAAGAATGTGTGCCACTATCATCATGCGATAACCGTTACTATACTAATGCTAACAAAAAGGAAGTGATAAGAATGCATCACTGTGACTAGAATTTCTTTCACGATGGTATATATTGATCCAAGCAGTTTGGCATTCCTCAACGAATTAATCAACCATTCACAAAAATTCAACCTCCTGAATGCATCATGCAACGGAAGCGGTAATGATACGTGCATGGAAGTTTCATCGTCTTCGGATTTCGAATCAGAGAAAGTTTTCTGGGCTCTTTTACTCATACCACTCCCCCTAGTGGCTGTGGTAGGAAACATTCTCGTCATACTTAGTGTATACAAGGAGAAATCATTACAAACTGTGACCAATTACTTCATAGTCAGCCTAGCTTTTGCAGATCTTTTAGTGGCAGCGGTTGTGATGCCGTTTGCTGTATATGTGTTGGTGAGTATGAAAACGTTACTTTTTAATGGCTATAGCATGGGGATATGAAATTAAGAATTCTGATGCTTCAAAGCGAAATATTTATAACCATATTCTAGTGTATGCATGTAAATTTGCAGTAATACTTTCTTGTGAGCGACATAAACATCTACAGATCTTCTTTATCTTGGGCAATACCTTTAATCATCTTTAAAAATATGAGCATTTTTACAAATAACTTAATATAAGGTCAATTTACTTTAACATAATACAATTTTGTTTACGTCTTTTAAGTCTGTCTTCGTCAATTTTTCAATACGTCTGGAGGCTAACTGCCAGACGAAAACATCAGAACAAATTCTAATGAAATGAACCTTCGCGCCATCTGGCGTTCAACATTGGCACGATGACATTTCAGCTGAGATTAAAAACTGTGATCCCAATCAGTGGTCACATGATTATGTATGTTTCCAAAATGGTACCGGTTAATGACAAAGGACGTTTCTATGCTTTTGGCCGTGTTTATGCGGGTACTGCATCTTCTGGCCAGAAAGTGAGGATTATAAGACCAAACTATACACCTGGCAAGAAAGATGATCTTGCAGAAATGCTGATTGAATAGATACTTGATGCTTAGAGCGTCCATCCATTTTTGAAGAAGCAGCAATCGAGCCGGATTAAATTACTTTTATTTATTTAAATTCACTTGCTTCCACAATTCACTTGGCACTCTACTCGTGCCTATTAATGAACATATAAAATTTTGATATTATTGCCGTAGAAGCGAATGTAGCAGCACATACATGATTGGAGAAAGGCGCCTGGCCAAGAGGAAAGCACAAGCAAAAGTGACGCATCAGTTCATAGAAAAAAGAGAGGGAGTCAGTTTTTAGTTATGGTTTACATTTTGGTAATTGGTCAAGAGGCATCTGCATTAATGGTTACGTAAGATCGCATGATTAATTTAAATGACACAGTTTAGACTTAAGCGCTATTTTTAGGACAGATAGATGAAGTCCCCCCCCCCAAAAAAATAAAAGAGGTTATAGTGAATTAAATTTAGAAGTTTGCTTTCATATTTTTATCTTACATATATCTATATATATGCATAATTAAAAAACACTAAAAAAATATAAGCCTCCCTAGTATTTTCGCGTATTAAACTGCTGAAAAATTATCAGCAAAGACATAAAGTAAGAAATATATCACCTTCTACAGAAAATTCTTGCTTTTCCATAGGATTTTTGTGGAAGAGAAATTTCAATTGATTTCAGTGTTCCTCCTCCTGACGAAGTGACATTGAAGTTGATTGAATTCTTTTTCAATTGTTTTCTTTTAACTTTAAATTTCATTGATATTTTTAATTGTGGTATTGCTTGTTTGAAGAGTTTTGGTTGTAACAATTATTAAATTCTTTATTGCATTTATAGGATTATTTGAAGTTTATTACTTATTAATTTAAATTTTTGGTTTTGTGAAAAATTGGTTCTAAATTTCTGACTTTATTTCTTTACTGATCCTTTTTTAGCTGTTTAATGGGCGAAAATACAACGCTTATATTTCGTTTTTAAAAGACATGTTTTGTAATTATGAACTACAAATAGGCAACTATTAGCTCTTAGATTATTTTAATAGTTTTACAAATTTAGAGGTTAGAATTAACATCAGAAACACAAAGGTTAAAGTTTTCCTCTATAAGCTTTACTTTAATTTAGGTTAGCACCTTAATTACTTTTATATAGATATTATATATATGCATATATATGTAAACTAAATCAAGAACTAAGAATTTATGAATCAGTACCAACAATATTAGATTTAACCAGAAAAACATAAATTACATACACAATGTTTCCGTTTAACATCAGAAAAATATCGTCTGAGTCTTCCTTACCTGTTATTAATTTAAACAAGCTTTCATACATTATTCTGAATTGTAAAACATCAACAAGGATAGTAGGTTTGTCAATGACAATAATATATATCTTCAAAGGAAAATTTATTCAAGAGAAACTTTAAGAGGAAATAATATAACGCAAATTTTGGATTTTGGGTAAAATAATTGAGGAAATTTTGGGTAAAATAACTGAGTTATGCTGCATATAATACAGGTTATCGGTTTTGGGTTCTTTCAAAAATGAGTTCTTATTTTAACTGAATGTTATGTTAGGTAAAATTGTTAGGAAACCATATCTTTCATTGTGTTCAATTTTCAATATCATATCGGGAATGGGGAATTTAAATTTTCGCCCATGCATAACTAATCTGAGGGTCAATTCAACGTAAGTTAAAACTATTTGGCAAGTTTTAGTTGATTATTCCAGCCTGACGCATCTTTTAAAAGAGATCATAAAGAGAACTTTTCAGTTAAATTTTACTAGCTCATAAATAGATAACACAGAGCACATATAAAAAAGGCTTAACACGGTATATTTTGAGGAATGGTTTTTTGAACTCATATTGCGAAATATTCAGCCTATTACTTATATCAGTAAATTATACTAAAAGAAACTATTCATGTTTAACGCAGAATAAATATGTAATCTAAAAAAATAATAAATTTTTAATTCACAACATGTTTGGAATTTGAAAGAGGAATAATACTTAAACACGACAATACACTTTCATAGGTGTTAAAAGACTCCACCCGCAAAGACAAGAGGAAAGTTTTGCGAAATGGTTAGTGCATAAAATATTTCTAGGTTAAAGAAATAATGCGCCAATATGTCATCTTTGCAAAGAGGTAAATTTCCTGGAACACTGGTAGTTTCGGTCCGAGTTTCGAATTCCGCGAACGGGCTGACTACATGTGTGTTTCCATGGTTTTCTCCATGTGTAACTACGAGCCAGTGTCCCTTAAAAAGTCCTTCATACAGACCTCCCTACTTTCCGTAAAGTGCGTTAGATTAGAGCACGTAAATAGTAAAAAAAAAAAAAAAAAAAAAAAAAAAAAAAAAAAAAAAAAAAAATCCGAAATATTTCAGATTTTAAATTACGTCCAAAGGGGCGTTTTTTAACATTTTGTGTGTTACCTTTCTTTATTAAATATCATGTTCCTCACACTTAAACCATAAGATCCAGTGCAACAGCAATATCGCAAAATAGTTTTAAAAACGAGCATATCTTTAGAATTTCCGATACAGAGACTCACGCGCTGGAGATAAAAAAAATGTTTTTTCTGCACAACGTTGCCATTGCTCGCTTTGAAATCCTTGAGTTTGTTAATCAAAAATTCGTCAAAGTTTTAAAAAAATAGAAAATCGATCATAAAAAAACAAATTTCAAATTTCAAATTTGGTCTTCCACATGCTCATATTCGTTCGAGGATTACGTTATTCAAAATTCGATAACTCTATGTACCGTTGTTTTGTTTTATCACAATACGAGAAATATACATACATTTTTATGCAGATTTTTCATTATTTAATTTCTTTCAAATATAATGCAGGACTCTAACATTTTGTGGCAACAGTTTGAAAAGTGAACCGACATTTATGAGTCCGACGCAAAATGCCAAAACGAAACTAATAGTCCTTCGGGATTCAAATCCCTTTGGACTAATAATAATATTATATCAGCTTTATAAACAGCAATCAAGAAATATCAGTATTTCGTGGCAATGATCGAATATAATTACGTATTTTTGTGCTATGAAGAGGTTTCTTCTATCAAATTTTTTTTTTTCTCAACAAAAGAATGCTCTTTTGCAAACCTAGCTCATGTAATAATTTCTCTGTTTGTTCTTCTTTACACATTTACAAAATTGCTTTGTACTTATCTTAATTACCAAAATTCTCTTTCAACTATTTTGCACTTAGATAATTAAAACTGATATACGTTGGTGTAATTACTTTCTTGTCAAAAGTAATTACCTGAAATTTAATTACAGTGATTTTATCTAAGTTGATCAAATCACTAATGAATTTAGCAAATACTGAGTTGTTTGCTTACAAATGCGAGGCTTAGGAGTTTTATATTTCAGAAGAATATTAAGTTAACTTCATGCGGTTACGTTTGCTCAAATATTTGTCTTTCAACCGAGATCCATCTAAGTAATTAAAATTACAATTATTTTAACTCTTTAAAGGATTTGCAGCTGAACGTCGAGGGAATTAGACAGGCCTTGGTTCGCATTCGTGTTTCGATATTGTTTAAATTCGTTATGTGTGTGATTCTTACTTTGCATTGTTTAGTTAGTGTTTCCAAATTAGCATAATTTTCTTTAATGATATAAAATATTTTGGATTCATTAACTTTATTGAGTGTTATAAGCTATGATGTGATATAAAACAGATCTCCAGTCAGGTTTGCATCAAAATAAGTTATTAAATTTGATACGAATGGTTTACATCTTATAATTATAACCAAATAATTATTAACAATAAAATATGTAAACATTATTCTTCCTTTTATAATACTAAGCAAAATATTTCTACTACAAAGTTAAACTAGCTCATGTTATTTTTTTTTTTTTTTCGTTTAAAGAATATTTGCCGTGGTAGATTGTCACAGAAATTTGAGACAAGAAATAATTTTTAAGTATATGAAAATTATACCTTTGGATGATTGCAGATATATTTTAATTGTTATCATTACATTAGAAATCATCTTACTCATTATGATTGGGATGTAAGGATTATGTTGATTTTCCTAAAAGTTAAGTTTTGAGTTAAAGTTCCTTTCCTGTCTTCCTGAATTTCAACTTGCAACTTCCGACCAGAACGTAATTTTTAGAATCGCGTTTGAATGCAAATTGAGCAGAAGTATTTAACCGAGAAGTTCTACTGTCTTAGTTAAAGAGTGCCAGTGATTCTGGCTAACACGCGTCCGCCTTTTTTGGCTACTCTCTCTTAAGCTATTATTTCGCGGGACCGACTTTAGGCCCTTGAGAGCTCCGTTATTATTCAGCTTTAAGGGGCCAACTCAGTTAAATTCTTGATAGCTTCGGCTATATCATTTAGTTAAGATTAGTTAAGTTAAGATTAGTTAAGATTAGTTCTTAGTTTTTGAGTTCAAGCCCG